CCGAGGGGCAAGAAAAGTTGCAAACAAGCTATGGTCCGCTGGGACAAAAATTTCTGAAAGCGGTCTTGAGCGGTAAGAAAGCCGTAAACATTGACGTTGTGTACGAAATTTATTTTAGCAACGAAAGAACGATGCTCGGCGACAAACGTATTGCTTTGGACAAAAACGATGATATAATTATAAATGGGAAAAAATACGAAGGAACACCGGGTCTGTACGAGTTAATTTTCATGAAATTTCCTAATGAAGATATATGCACGGATGATGACCTACAAGAGCATTCTGTTGACAACAAATGCATATAGACGCGGTCATAGTACGGATAGTCAAGTACTAGGTAACAAGGGGTACAAGTATAAGAATATAATCGCGCCATTGGTGTTGGATAAAAAAGTTAGAACGGGTATAAACAAAAAATCCGATATACCGTGCACCATGACACTAAACGATAATAATATTGACTACATTCATTGGGACGATCCCAACGAACTTGTTGATCGTCTCCGATTGCTCGAGGCTTCGCGCCAGGCGGGACATAATGGTCACGACAACGAGATTCTGTCGATTATCGAGGAACTTCGAGAAGCCGGTCTCGTTATAAATTGACGTAGTGCGATATGCGTCATTCAGTCGATATCGAAATGCCGATCAGCAAATTTGGACTATCGCTCGTAGTAGGAGGAAACGTATCGTACTATCAGTGGAGCGGATCGCTCAGAAATTATGTACGCGATAACGCTCTTTGCGTAGTCGCAGCCGACTTTGATGCAAAGTCACGCAAGATTCAACGTTTAGCGCTACCAGTAAATGAGGCTGATGCAGCAAACAATACGTGCAGCAGAATGTTCAAGATTTGAAAGATCGATTTGATGAAATCGAGAGGAAGATGATATCATTCCAAAATAATGTGCAGGTTATGCTAAACGAATTTGAAAAAACAATTCGAGAAGTGAATAATCGCAATGACTGAGAAACGATCGCTGATTGATGAATTACACGTTGCAGCGAGAAGAAATTTTCCAAGAAGACGCGTCATAGTACACGGATACAATGACCTGTGGCAGGTGGATGTGGTTAAGATGCGTCCGTATACACGCTGCAATAGAGGTTACCACTACATTCTCACCGTTATCGATGTGCTGAGTAAGCACGCATGGGCCGTATCACTCAAAGTCAAGATCGGGAACGAGGTGACGAAAGCGATTGCAAAGATAATTCGAGACGATGGAAGATGTCCAAAAAATTTGCAGACTGACAAAGGAAAGGAATTTTACAACTCGAATGTGCAGAAACTCTTGAAGAAACATAACATCAATCATTACATATTCTGTAATGAACGCATCGGTCGTTGAGCGGTTC